AAACCTCTACCTAGACAGTGTTGGTCTCCTCTTTCCAAGGGTCGCTCAAGTGCAATATTGTCTGTAACGACCCGGCTGGCCACTACACTTCCAACCACCGCACACCGGAAATACTAGACAGAATAGAACGAGTATATAATTATAGGGTCTAGAATATAAATATATACAGAGTTCCAATCCAACTAGAGTTAGAGCGTACAAAAGAAATTACAATCAAATACTACTATCCCAAATAGCTACACATCAAAAAAATCATAAAAGCGATCAGCTCTGCTGGTCCGCCGAAGACTCATCATCAGACGCCCACCTATCCCTGCTCTGCTCCCATACATAGTATGATCATTGCAGTCCAACATCATGGAGACAACAAAAGGGTAAGCTAGTGTAATTAAAATTCAACATACAAATATATTTATTTAAATATATGGAATAAAAGGAAAAATTTTAAAAATACTTTCACACTAAAAATAAATAAATTTAACCTCTTATAAAGCACAAATTAATTTTTAATTATCAGTTGTAAGATATCATTTAGATTATCTTCATGAGAGAAAAAAATTAATTATCCTTTTTTTAATTAAATTCCTTCCATTTTTTTAAAATTTTTTTTTATATTTTTTTATCGATTTGTCCAAATAGTTAAGGAAAATATCTAATTACTTTTTTGTTTCACTCTTATTTGTGAGACCCCGCAATTTTTTTTCTCTCTTTTCTCATCTCCTTCACTTTGCATTCTCTCTTTTTCCTTATTCTCTCAAATTCCTTTCTCTTAAGCTGAAGCAGTGAGCACCAAGGAGGTTCCTCAATCCTTCTCCATTCCTCAAACGTAATCCGTTTGGAGCTAGCTAAGAGCCAAAGTTTTCTCTTCTTATTCTCCTTCTCTTCCCGGAGCTCGGATTTCTTCTCCTCCGAGGTAAGGGAAGCTAGTTTTCGCATGGATTGATTGGAAATGAGTTTAGAAACTCATGTGCTATTTGATTTGAGAAGATTGAGGGGCTGTTTTGAAGAAATTTCATTTTTGGGTTTTGAGAAAAAGGGTGAAATTTTGGGATTTTGAGTGTTGATGGTTGCATGTTGGAAAAGTAATGATTTTTGAGTTGTTTGATGATAATGTGGTTCATTGAATGGATTGCATGTGGTTTAGCTGGTTGTTTTTGCAGGTTTTGGATGAAAATTTTGAAGTTTGAGGGTTGCTGCTTGATAGTGCGCCGAGCGTAGTTCTTGGCGCTAGGCACGTGATCATCAGAGGGTTCCATTGGTCAAGCACGTCAGGCGCAAGGCTGGTTGCGCCGTGCGAGCTTGGGAATGGAGGCCCCTGGATGGCTCACGCCGGACGTGGAAGAATCGCGCTGGGCGTGATATCAGACAGGGACTCACAATTTTGGGTTCTGGCATGGCGCCGGGCGTGATTCAATCTCACCGAGTGTCGAGACTCCATGGGAGTCTCTACCAGGGGTGGCACCGGGCACAATTGGTATTGTGTCGGGCATGAGACCTTGAGGAGGTCTCTGCCTTACTTGCGCCAAGCGCGGGTTTGGTGCGCCGGGCTTATGAGACTCCTGAGAGTCTCTGTCTTCTAGCACACCGGGCGCAATTGAAATTGCGCTGGGTACGTAAGAGCGTTGGAGCTCTCTGGTTGGTCCAAGCCGGGCGCAACTCTTATTGCACCGGACGTGGATGTGTGCTTTCATAACTATGCTGATTAATGATGATTAATGGTGTATTAATGTAAAGTTGAGTTGTGTTGTATGATGTTAATGCCGTATGAAGTTTAAGCTGTATGATGTAACATTGAGTTGTGTTGTATGATGCTTATGTTGATTAAATGTTGTTGAGCCGAGCTGAGTTGTATGCTGTCTAAGTTGTTAATGCTATTATGTTGTGCTGGGCTGAATGTTGATTCTGAGCTGTGTTGTAGGCCGTAAGGCTGAGCTGTTGTAGGCCATAAGGCTGAGCTGTAGGAGATCTCCGAGTTGAAATGCGTGACGACGCATAAGCTGTTTGATGTGATTTTGCTTAATGATGTGAGCTGTATATGTGTAGTGTGCTGTGAAGCTGAGATATAGATGTATGTTGTGATGTGTTGCATGTCAACCTTGTTGAATTTGATGATGTGCTGATAAGCTTCACCCTTTTTGCTGAAGGAGATGAGGTTGTGAGGGTGAATAGGGACTTCAAGGTGGCATTCTCAGCTGCTACGTTGTGTTTGCAAGGCACAGAGTGGAAGGTGGGTGAGAAGGATGCAAAGAGTGGAAGAAGGATCATTGTTGCTTGGGGAAATGGTAGTTATTACTTTAGGATTTTGGAGACACAGTTTAAAGGTGTACTTATATTAATGTTCGTTGGTGTCCTACTGATGTGTTCCCTTATTGCAAGTTTAAGTGTGGCAGCTAGTGTTGGTGCCTTGCCTGAGAATGGGAAGATTTTGTTGGCCTTGGATGGTAATGTGCTCCCTGTTGTGTTTGAGAGAGCATAATATTTTATGTTTTTTATCAATAAAATGAAAATGATATAGATTGAAAATAACATTCTTAATATTACTAATTAGATAGCCAATAATATGTGTTAAAAATTCTCAAATTCAATAATATGTATTAAAAATTCTCATATCAAAACACTATTATCTGCTTAATAGATAATCAAAATTTTATAGTGTTGAAAATTCTCAAATCCAATAATATGTATTAAAAATTCTCATATTAAACACTATTATCTGCTTATAATAGATAATCAAAATTTATTAGTGTTGAATTTGGTTTTGAGAGGATGTAATATTCTTCTTTGGTATATTCCATTGAAGATTAATTTGTGTTTATTTTGTACTTTTGTAACATGAATCGATAGGACTCATAGATATCATAAGAGGAAACAAAGATAGTTGAACCCGTTTTATTTCTTTGAATTCGTTATTATATTTGTTTATGAAATTATAAAAGTAGTCTTTAATTTCTATTGGGGTTCGTGGCAACTTTTGCAGAAGTATTTTCTCAAATGATTTTATAAAATCAAAATGTATAATTAATCAATTATTTTTAATTTTTAAACCATGAATACATTTAAGACTGCAAAAGATTTTGTCATTATTTTATTTAAAATAAGGTAAAATGAATACGTAAAAGTACAGTGTCTATAAATATAATTGATTTAAAACTTATTATAATTTTCTACATCAATATTTTAATATAATATTAAAATTTACTAATTTTTTTATTACTTTTATCATTATTTTAATATTTTTACATTTTTAATTGTTTGTATACAGCGGTTCCCTGAGCACTATTAAAAGGAAAAAATTGTTATATATTCTATATAATATAAAAAATAAAAAATTACATAATTAAATTATACATAAAATATATTAGAGGGAATAAATTATTTTGTAAATAAATAATTAATAATTATTTCCTTTTGTTATTCAACAAAAATTTATCTATAATTTTAAGAAAATAAATTAATAATATTAAATATAAAATAAATTAATAATATTAAATTTAAAGAAAAAGAGTGAAATATTGTTGATTTATCTATTTTTAGTGTAAATTTTTATAAGTATTAATGAAAAATTATAACTAAAGGTTGTCTTTAACTTTTTCTTTTTTCTTTTTTCTATAATTTTTTTAATTCTTCTTCTATTTTTTTTAAATTATGACTTATTTTATTTTATTGAAATTTTAAAATTAAATCATGAATCTCTATTTCTTTAATATAAATTCTTTTATGATGTGTCACTATTATTAATTTATTCTTTTAATGTATAATAATTTCTATGAATAACTCGTAGTCTAGTATAAATTTATTATATATATTTTTAATAATTATGTGTTTAATTATTTGTGAGTTTTACAATTTCAGATTTAGAAACTGAGGTTATAAATAGAATTTAAATAATTATAAGAAATTATTTTTTACTTCATCTAAGATAAAAAAAAAAAACTCAAAATGGGCCCTGTTGTATACTGTGTTCACCAAAAGAATTCATATGAAAAATGATGGTAAAGTTGAAAATCCGTTAGTTCTTCTTTCTTAAGTGGTAAGTGAAAGATCATAACTAGTTGATGATTACGTCATACATCAATGCCCGAAATAGGATCTTCCTTATATTCTGGTGGAAACTAATTAAACGCGCAGAAATGTTGCTACGAATATGATAATAAATAACCTAAAACGAATTCTAGATGGATATATTTCTTTTTATGGATCCAATCATCGATTTATGTCATTGCCTCACTAGTAATGAAAAAACAAAAAAAAAAACCCAAAAGAAAAAAGAAAAAGAAATAGCGATAAAAATGGTAGTCAGATATTTTGGCAAGTTGCTTCAATAATAAATGAGGCACTTTCAGTTCTCCAATCAAATCAATATACAAGCAACATATTTAGACACTGTATTATATAATATTAAGTTTTAATCATTTTTGTATTATATAACTCGAATTTACTTCCTACTTAAAAATATAACTTCACTAAATATGTTCTCTATATATATAATAAACTATATAATTTATTTCTCTTACATTTTCAAAAAATAAACTACATTACTGTGGTAAAATGAATAATTCTATAAAATGTATACCATTAATAAATTAACTTCAATTATTAATTTTAATCATAGTTATATTAATTTTTGCTATACAACAATAAAACCCACTTCTACTATTTCTTTAAATAATCATAATGAGATTAGAATATAGTACAACCACCCGCTGACTCCAATGATTTACTTTAACCATCGTTAAGTAAAAAAAAAAAAAAAAATTTCTTAGTGTATTAATTTTAGTTTTTGAGAAGTTCTTAGCGTATATATTAAAAATAACTTTTCTTTTTTAAAAAATCATATAGTATAAAAAGAAAAAGTGAAAAATCATTTTCTTACCGTGTGCAAATTGTTGCAAGACATGTCAAGGTGTGTGTGTTTTTTTTAACCTATGTTGGCGCCAAACGTTGTCAAATGTTTAGTTTATGTCCATACAAAAGGACACGGTGGATGAAGTGTTGGTTTATCCATTCATTTTCGCATATTAATTTCACATCTGTTCCATACCTTACCCTCTTCTTCTTCTCTCACCTTATTTCCATCTTCATTCACTCAGTGCTTTCTCTGATATATATAGTACAAAATGTTACTGATTCCGTTAATGTAATTAGCACAATTGCTAATCTGATTCTGACAACTTTGAGTCTCTATGATCAATTTGTGCTGTCAAATTGTTGTTCAGAGTTTATGGAAGTTGTAGAGGAAAAATCTTCATCTGGGTATGGAAAGCCTCCATGGGTATTTAAAGGCAGGCAAGTGTAACAATTCTTGTGTAGTTACTAATTACTATTTTTTGGTCTGTGATTTAACTAATAACTAGTTCTATTTCTGGGGTGGTTTATCAGTGCTTGGTATCAACTCCATCTTGTGAAGGCAGATAAAGCTCGAGCATGCATTCCAAAGGAATTCAAATTGGTTGAAGCTTTTGGGTAAGTACTTGTACTTGCTTTAGAAGGGTTACTAGAAAATGGAGAGTGAATTTCATCATTGATCAGTTCTCTAGTTACTCCTAAGATTAGTTTGTGCAGTACTTAAAAGGGCTAGTCACTTTTGCTTGTTTATTTTCTTTCAAGAAGAAACAATTCACTTCATGTATAGTTAATGTGTGAAAATTGTTTGGTTGGAATATTTCAAGAATTCAATTTTTCAAAAACTCATTTTGTGTGTATTATTTGATGAATTGTAAGTTCCAACTCTTCGATACGATTCGTAAACTATTTCATTTATTTTACACAGAAAAGCCTTCCAATTCTAAAATGAAAGAATTCCACATGAGGTTGGAAAGTAGTTTGGGAGTTTTATAAATATTTTAATACTCTTAGAATTAGAATTTTATGTAGATAAATTTGCGTGATAAAGATTTATATCAAAGGTTAGCATAAGTTGTTGAGGAAAAAATTCCCATTTTAATTAGAAAATAGTGCTTGAATAATACTTAAGAAATTGCATTTAATTTTTGCGTATGTTTATCATTTTGAAACACTGTGATTTCTGAGTTTACTCCTTACATACAGATACACTCTTGGTGGGTTCTTTCTAGCCAGTTATGAGGACAGTCCAGTTGGTGTATTTGATGAGGTTCTGCTATAATTTTACTCATCCTTTTTTTATTTTCTTCAGATGTTATTTGAAACAAATTTTCCTAAATTTCGGGTCCATGGAAATTCGAAGACATTCTGTGTTTTGATTGATGCAATTTGTTGCTGACATTAGAACTTTGTGATAGCAGCTTGTTGTGATTGCAGGACTTGTATGGAACCGCCCAACATCCTGCGCGTATGTCCCTACTTTTAATCCCATGATTATTTATATTATTCAAACTTCATCAGTCTTCCATTTTTTAAAAAAATATGGAGAAGAATAGTGGTAATCATAGCACTGAAATGGAACATGGTTCTAGTTCCAAGGGCATAAGAAACTTGTGGTTTTGCATGTGAGTTGCTGCTGCAACCTACTTGTTGTCCAATCAAAATTGGTTTGGATTGTGTTGGATAACCTCCAAACAAGCCTATATAGTAGTAATTCACCAATCTTATCAACTTATATTGTTTATATATGAATATTTGCTGCCAATCAAAACTTAGATATCTGATGTTCATCCCTTGAGAAGAAGGAATTCTATTTTTGCATCAGGTTTCCTAATGAGACCCTATAAATTTTTTTATTAAAAAATATTAATTATGTAAAAGATACAATCATACAAAAGTACTATAGTATTTCGTTATTACATTTTTAAGTTAAAAACTGGGGAAAAACTTGAGATGGTGAGGTGAGATGATCTCACCCTTAACTTTTCTTTTAATAAATATTTTCATTTTATAATAGAAACATATATATTAATAAAATTGATTGAATAGTTAGGGAGACATCCAATAATGTTACTAGAAGTCTCGAGAAAATATAATATTTTAATAACTTTTCTTTTAATAAATATTTTCATTTTATAAAATATAATAATTAATGTTATCTATGTACTTTGACTCAGATTTTCAGTAAAGAATGATTATTTATTAATTTCTTATTCAATGTCCTTCAAATACTACTCCATGATCCCATGAATAATTCTAAACCACCATTATGCAGAATATTTTTTATTTATTTATTTTTCCTTTGTTGTTTATATAGATGTTCTCATAAAGGTTTTTTTTTCTTTCAAAAGATGGGCAACGAGGGTGTACGTGAACAACGATGAGGCCTGTTATCATGGCAGAAAGGTAGGAGAAGAAAATTCCTAGATGCAAACTAAATAACGTTTATAAAATTGCTTAATTTATGTTACTTCATCCTAAAGGAAGAGAATCATGTTTTATGTGTTGTGGAAAATAATTTGTGGATGCTTCTACATCTGTAACTTTTGCTAACATTTAGATTGTGTTTTGCATGTCACATGTGAATTGAACGAATTGTAATGTCGTGTTCTCCTTGATATTTCACCCTCACAATGTAGCATTTTATTATGGTATTATTTTGTCATTGGTGTAACTTATAAGTTAACTCCCACTTTTTTTGCAGGAGGTGGGGCTACCCAGTCAAATGGCTAGGTTTTCCAAGGTAATTGTTTTGACCTAGTGCATCATATCATTTAGGTTGATATTATTGCTGTGAATTATCGAAACTTTTTTTTTCTTCTTGAATTCTGAATTATGGAAACTAACCTTATGATTTTGTATCTCAGTTATGAGAATTTAACAATTTTTTTTTAGAATTTTAGAAATTTTGACTTTAGACTACATGGTAGATACAATATTTGATCTTGATAGAACTAATATGGTTAGGTTAGTGATAGAGGACTAAAGTAATATATTATGTTATGGTTATTATAATTTTTTTAATTGATAAAAAAATTATGTTGCTTGAAAAATTACTGATAAAACCTAGGAATTTTCCAAGTCTAGGCCATTTTGGGCATGGTTATATTGATTTGTTCATTCTTCAAAAAGGCAAATACAGCAATCTCAAGAGAACAGAGGGACAAAAAGAGTGAATTTCTTAATAGGATTGGAATTGGTGCCGTGTTCTCTACTCCTAAGGATCCCATGAATGTTCAAGTAACCAAAATCAGATGTCTTGATGCAGAAGACACTTGTAATATTAACATCAGTCTCACCAGTCCTGGTGAGTGAAATTTGGGATTCAATTCCCCAACCCTTAATGAGTTTTTTTATTTAGATACAAGTTAAAAATATTTTAAATTTTTTTTATAGAAACACTTCTAAATTTATATCTAACAAAATTTTTATATTATTTGATAGATATATCTCTCTTTATGTTACATATCATAATTTCTTATGTGTTGGGATATTAATAGTTGATTTTTTATTAACATTTTAAATTATTATTGTTGTTTTTATTTTAGAGAAGTCAAAATATATGCGGATTTGACTTCTTTAAAGTCAACAATTCACTTTAGAAAGTAAGTAACTTAAATCATTGATGAGAATATCAAAATTTGATATCAAGTACACATACATAACCAATCATGTATGTATTGAAATATCAATGGTTGACTTTCTTATGAATTCTTATTATTTTTTTCACTATTAATCATTTTAGAGTTCTTATAAAAATAATTTATGTACAATCATAGATATTATTAGTGTTATTCTTCGATCATAATTAAAGTTTTACTTCAATAATATATAATTATATTTAATATAAAATCTCAATAATATTTATTTAAGTATATTATGGAAGTGAAATTTTAATTTTGATTAAAAATCAACACCAACAATCCATAGTTATTGTACCTAAATTCTATCCCTATTCAAAACACTTGCCGTAGTGCTAACAAAAGCATGCGAGAGAAGAAATTGCTATGCTCCATACAAGAGTTTTTCATAGTTTTATTTATGTAGTTTGTCCTCTAATTATAATTGACACTATAAGGCTTTGCTAATGAGAAGCATGTTGATAGCAGTCCCTGCTTTGGGCTTGGGCCATTGGATGGGCCCAACAATCAGAATGTCTCTTCCAAGTTTTAGGTAAACAAGTGCATCAAACCATTATGTCACATTATGGTACCATAGTTTTCAGTTTTCCAAAACAAATGATCACCAAATTGTTCCAAAATTGCAGTGGTGGTACAGAGTATAATCCTAACCTCCTCAAATACTCTTGCAAGATTGAATGCAGGTTCTCTTTTCAACTTCAAAAGCACTAAGAAAATAGTCAACATTATTATGCTTTTTGACACATGGAAATATTGAATAGGGTGCAAGCACTGAAGCCGTTGAAGGTTTCAGGACCATTCCCCTCAACAAATGAGGACACTGAGCAATCTTTAGAAGATTATGGAGGCAGTAGCCATGTGGCTATAGATCATCAAAACAATGCACAGAATTTCAGCACTTGTGTGATGTTATCAAAACCCATATTAGCAATAAAGTTTAGTGAAATGAAGATGCAAGTTGAAGCACCCGTTGTACTTTCCCAATGTTCAAATTCTTTGGAAACTACTGTCACTTCTTCTCCATAGGCTGCAACGTATTACAATACAGAAATCATTATTTGTTTTGATTTTTTATGCTTTCACACTTATATATGAGTGTAATTCCCTTGCCTATTTCTGCTTGCTTACCAGGATTGTAGCTTCAAATTTTCAGAACTAATCTATCTGACACAGATTCGGCCAGGACATGGAGATGGGATACGGCAAAATTATAATATATAATATGAATAAGATGAAAATAGAAAATTATATATGGATATGACATTAACTTACTAAATTTCAAAAATAAATTGCTGAGAGGCATCATGGTTTACAATAAAAAATTTAATAAAAATCATTATAATAGATATAATATATAACATGACATATTTAATCTATGTCGTATTTATGTGTATCCACTCCAAAACAGTATCAAACTCTAAGACATGACAGTTCTATAAGAACTAATTGATATATATACCTTGACATCAATTTACCAATATACCCACATCATTAGCCATTACTTTATAACTTTACTTATGTATATCCTCTTGTAACGTTCACTATGACCAAAATAACCTTCCCACGCGTCCTCTATAAACTTTATTTGTACACCTAATGATGATATTATAGGTCTCCAAATAACCCTTGATTTGATTATTCTGTGCATTAAATGACATATTGATTGAGTGCCCCCCCCCTCCCAATATCCATCCATTTGTTACGCGTTTGAACTCCCACTTGTATTGTTTTTGGACTCAATTATTGACTTACCGACTTCATGGTGGAGAAAATGAAAACAAAAATAAAAAGTAAGGATTTTATTTCTTTATCAAAATTTCCATTTTTCGGATTATTCTCAAGCCTAAATCCTTATTATTCTATTTTTTTTATTATTAATTATGTCTTTTATAATAGAAGCTAATTTATGAACTAATTCCCATAACACTACAATTTTTATGAATTTAGGATCCTTTTATTTCTACTTTTTTTTTTCTATTTTTAAAATTTTGAGAGCATTTAATTATGTTTGTAAAATAAAAATTAATATATATATATATATATATATATTATTTTGAAAGATAAATATGATTTAGGAATATTAATAAGATTATGAATCCAAACAAAAAACTGTTATTATAAACTCGAATGTCTGTTTCTTACTTGTGTTGAATTGCTTCCTCTTTGCCATATGTGGATGTCGAAACAAAAATAGGAGATGAATCATTGATGGATCATATCGTAAAGCAACATATTATTCGAGAATGTACGAGTAAGACCCACGAGTTCTTCTACCACGTGTATCTCTTACTAGGGGAGGCCATTTAGCATTCTAACATGATGAGATCATGGAAGATTTTGATGATAAGGCTACCACTTTTAAGACTCAACTGAATGACTGTTGATGTTTAGTCTAAAATTAATATTAACAAATATTATTAAATTATAAAAATAAAATAAATTTTAATAATATTATTAAAATTGACGAGATCAAAAAATAATAAGATACAAAAAATAGAGAGAAATGAAGATATGAGAGAGAGAAGAGAGGAGAAATGAAAGTGAGAGTGATAAAGAGAGAGGGAAAAGAGTAGTAGAGAGAGATAGGCATGACAACGGGACGAGGAAGGTTTTACGTTCCCTCCCCTTCCCCACCTCCAATTTTATCAATTGGGGAAAACCTGAATCCGAACTCGAACTTGATAAATACGAGTTTTTCCTGCCAAATTGGGGCGGGTTCAAGCAGGTACCTACATGGACATGTTAGATTGTCATGCCTAGAAAAAGAGAAGGAGAAGGAGAGAGAGGGAGAGGGAGAGGTTTTTTGATTTAAAAAAAGATATTGTGATATATATTAACTTTCAACTTTCTCCCTTAACTTGAGAAAGTGAATATTTTTGTAAAAAGGAAAAATAAAAATAGTTTCCAAAAAATAATTTTTAAATCTTTTTTAAATAGTTATCAAACATAAAAAATCAAGATTTCAAGCTCCTAAAAAAATATTTTGCATATTAAATGTTTGTTCAATGTGACAATCTTAAATTAAGAATTTTTTTTCTTTTTTATTATATACTCTAGGCATTCAATGCCACTTGACAAAGATTTACAAACTAACATCTCTTAAGAAAAGGAAAAGGGAGTTGCTACGTTACCCTCTAAAATTGAGGGGTTTTAATACATTTTTTTATATAAACTTATAAAAAATTTAAAAAATTAATTTAATTATAAAATTAGGCTTTTGTTGTGCTGAGCTCTGTGTTGTGTTAAATGTTGTGCTGATTGTTATTGACTGGTTTAGTTGTTGTATACTGAAGGTGTTGTTACTTTTGTAGACGATGACTAGAACCAATGAGCAGATAGCCCGTGCCATGGAGATGATGGCTATGACTATGCAACAGCAGAATGCCTACTTTGCTAGGATGGATGCTGATAGAGCTGTAGCTGGTGCAGCAAGACCAGTTGGGTCATAGGAGAGCCGAGATCTAGCTGAGTTCTGCAAGTGCCATCCTCCATAGTTTAAGGGTGATGCAGACCCAGAGGTAACTGACCACTGGATTTGTGAGTTGGAGAAGATTTTTACAGTACTGGGTTGTTCTCAGGAGAAGAGGTTGGCTTATTCCATTTTCATGTTGGTTGGGGAAGCTGAACATTGGTGGAGAGGCACCCACCACATGTTGGTTGCTAGAGGAGTGGCTGTTGACTAGGAGTGCTTCAAGAAGGTGTTTCTTGAGAAGTACTTCCCAGAGAGTGTGAGGCATGCCAAGGAGGTTGAGTTTATGCGGTTGCACCAAGGTGGGATGACGGTGTTTGAATATGCGATGAGATTTGAGCACCTGGCTCGTTTCTATTCACAAGCCTTCTGAAGCTTGAAAGTGCAGGAAATTTGCTGAAGGATTGAAACAGGAGTTGAAGAGGGTGGTGGTGCCTATGACTGAGTTTTCGGCCTTAGTTGAGAAGGCGAAAGTTGTTGAGCGATTGGAAGGTGGCAACCGAATGATGAGAAGTGCTGAGGGACTAGCTGGGTCAAAGAAGTGTGGAGGTCAGAGGAAACCTTATGATAGGCCCCAACCACAACAAGGGGGTCCTGTCACAAGGCAACCTATTGATGCAGCTAGAGGTGGGAGTCAAGGTGGAGGTGCCACTCTCAGATGTTATAGGTGTACTGGACCCCACTTTGTTCAGGATTGTCCTCACACTAAGAGCCGATGCTTCAGGTGTGGCCAGATGGGTCACGAGTCGACTAGCTATCCTACAAGAAATAGACCGAATAGGGGTGCTCCGAGAGGTGATAGACCTACTGATGCTGGGAGGGTGTTCGCCTTGACCTGGGTTGAAGCTTCCACTTCATCAGATTTAGTGAAGGGGAAGGGCAAAGTTGCTGGTAAGGATGTGATGATTCTTTTTGATTCTGGAGCCTCCCATTCTTTTATTTACTATGCATGTGTTGCATTGTTGGGTGTGCCGGTGTGTGATTTGGGGTTGAGATTGCTAATGTCGACGCCCACTTCTGCTTTTGTAGTTGCATCTGAGCTGTGTGTCGGTTGTCCGATAGTGGTGAATGAGAAGAGGTATAAGGTAAACTTGATTTGTTTGCCTTTGGTAGATATTGACGTAATCTTAGGGATGGATGGGTTGTCTGCCAATCGTATCCTTATAGATTGTGCCAATAGGTGGTTGATTTTTCCTCTTGTGGAGGATGAGCTATTGATTTCAGCTAGCCAAGCTGAAACATTGATGAGAGATGGAGCAGAGTGCTGTATTCTGCTTGCTGCCATGAGTGTGAAGACCGAGAGGGTCATTGCTGAGATAGAGGTTGTGAAGGATTTTGCTAAGGTGTTTCTAGAGCTTTTGTTGTGCTAAGCTCTGTGTTGTATTGATTGTTGTGCTGATTTCTTTGTTGACTGGTTTAGTTATTGTATACTGAAAGTGTTGTTACTTTTGTAGACGATGACTAGAACCAATGAGCAGATAGCCCGTGCCATGGAGATGATGGCTATGACTATGCAACAGCAGAATGCCTACTTTGCTAGGATGGATGCTGATAGAGCTACAGCTAGTGCAGCAAGACCAGTTGGGTTATAGGAGAGCCGAAATCTAGCTGGGTTCCGTAAGTGCCATCCTCCGCAGTTCAAGAGTGATGCAGACCTAGAGATAGCTAACTACTGGATCTGTGAGCTAGAGAACATCTTTACCGTGTTGGGATGTTCTCAAGAGAGGAGGTTGGCATATGCTGTTTATATGCTGGTTGGAGAAGCTGAACATTGGTAGAAAGGCACCCACCACATGTTGGTTGCTAGAGGAGTGGTTGTTGACTGAGAGTGCTTCAAGAGGGTATTTCTTGAGAAGTACTTCCCAGAGAGCGTGAGGCACGCCAAGAAGGCTGAGTTCATGCGGTTGAACCAAGGAGGGATGTCGGTGTCTGAGTATGCGATGAGATTCGAGCACTTGGCTCGTTTCTTTTCGCAAGCTATTTCTGAAGCTTGGGAGTGCCGAAAGTTTGCTGAGGGGTTGAAACAAGAGTTGAAGAGGGTGGTGGTGCCTATGGCCATCACTGAGTTTCTGGCCTTGGTGGAAAAGGCTAAAGTTGTTGAGCGGTTGGAAGGTGGCAACCGTGTAGTGAAGACTGCTGAGGGACCAGTTAGGTCCAAGAAAGGTGGAGGTCAGAGGAAACCATATGATAGAGACAGGCTAAGCAGGTTACCGGACGAAATCATCCACCGTGTGCTTTCCTTTGTGGACGCAGTTTCAGCTGTTCAGACGAGCGTTTTGAGTAAGCGATGGAAGAAGCTTTGGACTTCCCTCCCCGTCCTCAACTTCAACTCTTCCTCCTTCCACCACCCTCTCCTCTTCCACTCTTTCATCCACCACTTCATGTCCCACAGAGACTCTTCCACCAACCTCTACGCCCTCAACTTCTCCTGCAACGATGAACTCGACGATGGCCACGTCGTTGATTCCATCATTGACCATCTTACCCTCTCACCCACCATTCAGTTTCTCACCATCTATGCTGAATGCCCAGAGGCCAACCTTCCTCAAGTCTCTTTGTGCCAATCCCTCACCACCCTCAAGCCCGCCGACATATGCAACGAGGCCACAACGTTTGACTTCGTTTCTCTTCAAGGCTTTTACCTTTTTGATTGTCGGTTCGAGTGTGGGGCAGAGGAAACACTTGATCTTTTCAAGGGTTGTGTTAATCTCAAATGCTTTTGTCTGCATGATTGTCTGTGTTATGGCAGTGTTAAGAGCTTCAAAATCTCTGCGCCCCATCTTGAGTGTCTCGGAGATGAGAGTGGATGATGTGTTTGATTCTGACTGTGCTATTGAGCTTTTCACGCCAAAGCTTCAATCTTTTAGCTACTGTGACTCTCATCTTTATAATTTTTCTGCAAAGGTGAGTCTTTCCCAAGTGGAGAAAGTTAGGCTTTTGTTGTGCTGAGCTCTGTGTTGTGTTAAATGTTGTGCTGATTGTTATTGACTGGTTTAGTTGTTGTATACTGAAGGTGTTGTTACTTTTGTAGACGATGACTAGAACCAATGAGCAGATAGCCCGTGCCATGGAGATGATGGCTATGACTATGCAACAGCAGAATGCCTACTTTGCTAGGATGGATGCTGATAGAGCTGGTACCATAAAATTTCTCAAAGGAAAATGTGCGTAGCGCTAGTGAACGTGGATATGATGCAACAAATTTGAATTTAACATCTCTTAAGAAAAGGAAAATGTGCGTAGTGCTGGTGAACGTGGATATGATGCAACAAATATGAATTTTCGATGGCTTGCAATTAATAAAAGCAAACTAGTGTCGAATTTAAGGCCTTACTTTTACTCAAGATCATGTCCATCCTTTCCTTGGCATAATTATGGTCAAATATTGTAAGTCACTCTTCCCCAAAAGTCCTCACAAACCATTAATGTTACACATTTTTCACATTTTTAGTGCGTGTTTGCTTTAGTTTTTAGACGTGAAAATTCACGTTTATGAGAAGCAAAAAATTGTAGCTTCTACGTCTTGTAAACGTGGAGAGAGAATAAAAAATCACATTTCTAAATCTAAAGCAAACACGCACTTAATTGAAATGAATTTGAGTTTGTATTTAATTATTCACAGGATTGGTAAAGTAGGTGTAGGGGAAAAGATCAAAACTTGAGTTGCTTGTTATTTGAGAACAACATAGGACATAGTAAAGCCATGGCAGAAATCAAGAACCCATCAGGGACTTCACTCTTGGTACCATCAGTTCAAGAATTGGCTAAACAGAATTTGTCTAGTGTTCCACAAAGATATATTCAGCCTCAACATGAAGACATGGTGCTCATCTCTGAAGAACCTAACAGTACACTTGAGATTCCAGTTATTGACATGCAGAACTTGCTTTCTCATGAATCTGGGAGTTCAGAATTGGATAAGCTTCACCTTGCTTGCAAAGAATGGGGATTCTTTCAGGTCACTTTCTTTCTCTATCCTTCAATTTCTTTTGTAACTGCAAACACCTCTTTTGATCTGTTTGATTCTGGACTGTAAAAAATTAAAGTTCAATAAAACAAATCAGTTATAGATAAAACTATACATATTTGCTAAAGAGAAAATAGTAAATGCAGGAACATAGTAAATTGATTTAACACTATCCATCAATAAAAAATTTCTATGAATAATAACTAATAAGTTTATTGATTTTTGTATTAACTACTTTAAAAATCATAATTAACATTATTGTTTATTTATTGATAGTGACAATGAATAAAAATTTAATCTTTGATTGATTTAGTTGTTAATCTTGTTATAGCTGATAAACCATGGTGTTAGCTCTTCCTTGGTGGAGAAAGTGAAGTTGGAGATTCAAGATTTTTTCAACCTTCCAATGTCAGAGAAGAGAAAGCTTTGGCAGAGTCCACAACATGTAGAGGGATTTGGACAAGCATTTGTTGTGAGTGAAGACCAAAAACTTGATTGGGCTGACCTTTTCTTTATGACCACTCTTCCAAAGCAATTGAGGATGCCTCACTTATTTCCACAACTCCCTCTTCCTTTTAGGTTTGCTTCCCTCTTTTCTCCCTCTCTTTTTTAACATAATATTAATATTAAGTATCTACAACTAAAAGTAATGACTAATTTTCACATGACACACACAATATAATTATTAATGTATTATCCTCTCAATATAATTTATTTTATATTTATGATTAAGAATTGAATTATGAACAATTTGATTTAAGAACATTAGTTACTATTACTTATGCCAACTACATATACACTCCAACTTGGTTAAACTCTCTTTCTTTCTTCTGTGATTACATATACACTCATATTTCAATGAGCTTGCATGCTAAGGTAAATCCCTGCTCTGTCATGCAGGGACACTTTAGAACTTTACTCACAGGAAGTTAAAAATCTAGCCATGGCTGTTGTTGAACAAATGGGAAAAGCTCTGAAGATGGGAGAAACAGAAATGGGAGAGATATTTGAAGATGGGATACAGTCTATGAGAATGAACTATTACCCTCCATGTCCTGAACCAGAGAAGGTTATTGGCCTCACACCCCATTCAGATGGAGTTGGTCTCACTATACTCCTACAAGTTAGTGAAGTAGAAGGTCTTCAGGTAAGGAAAGATGGCACTTGGGTTCCTGTCAAACCCCTTCCTAACACCTTCATTGTAAACATTGGAGACATGCTAGAGGTAATATATGTACCCATATTCCATTTATATCTATGGTTTATAATATGGTTTAACAAGATTCCTGAAATTTCAATAATGTAATTGTGTCTGAAAATATAGAAGTCTACTTTTATAACATAAGCCTTCTAAAATCAAATCTTTTTCTATATAATTTAGATTGGTTCGTACTTCTGGTGTCTTAAATTATTCATTTATATGATATGATCATCCAATGACCAAAATTAATAGTCTGTTTATATACAAGTTTAGAAGTATTTTTAAAAAAATTTATATTGGAAATAACTCTTCATTTTTTATATCAAAATTCTTAAAAATGCTTTTAACTTGCATCTAAACATACTGATATAAATCTGATCTAACTTAACTCTTCCTTGGTTGTTTTTGGTTTTGTTTGCATTTTTACATGGAAGATTATAACTAATGGGATATATCGAAGTGTGGAGCATCGTGCAATGGTGAACTCTGAAAAAGAAAGGATTTCAATTGCAACATTCCACTTGTCAAAACATGATGGGCTGATAGGTCCTGCTGCAAGCTTGGTCACTGAAGAAAGACCAGCACGGTTCAAAAGAATTGAATTAAGGGAGTATTTGGAGAACCTATTTGGTCGTAAACTTGAAGGAAAATCATACATAGACACCATGAGAATATAGTATAACTTTTGAAGTGATTAAGATCACTGGCGTGTTACTATTACATGCCATTGCTGGATTAATTGTTGACCAAGGGCATCATGCTTGATATAGTTTGCTATTATTATCCTTGTAATTGAATTGAATATCATTCAAATTATTTAAACTAGATATCGAACTCAAAATTGAATTGTTCAAACAATGGATCTTTGGTGGAAACAATCCTTAGTCAATTTTTAAGGTTTAGGGTTTAGGATTTAGATTAGTTTAAGACGAAGTTTTAGAATACTAGTGCGAAAATTAAAAAAAAAATTAAAAAAGCTATCAAAGTTACTAAAATGGTGTCAAATTTATAAAATATGATTGTGTTCTTAATAATTAAATAATTTAATAATTTAATAATTTTTTAAAAGAAAGTTTTAATAGGAACCTATGAATATTTTATAATCAAATAAATCAAAATTTAAAAAGTTAATCATTCTTATCTATGTCAAGATCTTAAAAAAATTAATATTTTATTTTTAATTTTGTTGCATTATTTTAAAAAATTAAAGAAAGTTGATACACATTTAATAAGTATACCAATTAATATAATAGTAAAGAAGGCAAAAGTCAAAACATTGAACCCACATAAACTTGTGCTACGATTAATTAATCTAATTTAATACTAATTAGGGAAAAGAAAAAAATAGAATTATTTGAATAATGCAATAAAGATAAAGAACATATAAAAAGATTGAAAATATAATTTAAAATTTAAAATAAAAGATATCAGGGATTGATTTCACTAACCTTTTTCATACATATCCTTTTTCAATATTATTATTCAATTTTAATTATTATTAAGTTAATTTAACAATCAACGAAAATATTTTAATCCTAATTCCTTATGTAATAAATTCTAGGTTGCTTAAGGAAAATCTCAATTCCTTGGTGAAGTTTGTTAATCAACTTGCATTAAGATCAAAGGTTCAAAAGTCAACTAATAAGATTTATTCCAATTCCTTGATAATAAATGTTATCAACATTTTATCTAGGTCGTAATTTTAAAAAAGGTTTCACAATCTCAATTAAAAATTATAAAATCATAAAGAGGTTGATCAAGTTACAACAAGCATTAAGCACAAGAGTAAAAGGATTAACTACATAAATACTTTATTGAATAAGAATAAGAAGAATTACATGGAGTAAAGTCAGTTACGCTAATCCCCAACAACAACTCCCTTTATTCTCTAAAAAATTAAACTATACAATATATGGAGTGTCTTTTTATTATCTCAAACCCTAATTTTATAAGATTCTAAATGGTTTTTTTTTCAATTGGGCTTGTGATGTCTACTCGCTCAGAGGTCCTCTAAACTCGCTTTGAGCGAGCATGCATGATCTTCTCTAGTAATGCTTTGTAACTTGACTTGCTCAAAGCGAATTTTTGGTAGCTTTGAGAAAGTTCTTCTAACTTGGAGTGCCTGAATTTTTGGCAACTTTGATCAGGGTAAGTCTAAGTAGACTTATTCCTAGAATAAAAGGATCTCTCCTCATATATATATATATATATATATATATAAAGATGATATATTTACTTCAGGAGTAAGTATATTTATTCCGTTCAATAATTAATGTTCTACATCAAATTTTAACGATCTAACCGTTGAATTTAAAGTTCTTAATGTATAAATCAAATTTAAAAATTTTATTAAAGTTGCACAATAATTTGTTGGTGATCAAATTATTCATATTTTAGTATATTTTAAAATGTGTATATTACGTCAATTTTGTATATATGGATGACATATAAAATCATTTTGAATCATATATAAATTATAATTTTAATTTATATGAATTAGGTATCAAATCATTTTGGATTAATATAAAATTTTGTATATATGATCTAAAATTAAGAAACTTTTAATTTAACGATGAGATATGAAAAATAATCATTAAATTGAAAATTATTGAACGATAATAGTTTGTAAAAAGTTACATTATTGTCATTTGATCTCTCAACACACACACACACACATATTCAATAGCTCATATTTTACATCAAATTTCAATGGTTCAACCATTAAATTAAAATTTCTTAATACATTTATCAAACTCGCAAATTTTTACAAAATTTAAAACTATTTGATACTTCCTTTTATTAATTCAAATTGATATGAATGGTCATAAAATTACTATATATATAAATTGGTTTGAATCTATATAACAAAATATCATATGGTTCTCAAATATTTAAAAAATTTATAGACTTGATTTTTACATTAAAAACTTTTAATTTAACAATTAAATCACTAAAATTTAATATAGACATAAGTTATCAAGTAAGGCAAGCCTATCAAAACTTATTATTAGAGTAAGTGTTTTTTTTTTCTTCCTCTATATATAAGAAGAGATCAAATTATATCAATAATCTTAAATTTTGAAAACTATAATTAAATAAAAATAAATTTTTGCTAAAAAGTACTGACAATTCAAAAAGAATAAATGTAGTATACATAACAATTTAGTACATTTTATATACGAGAAAAATAATATATACCTATTATAAAAAAAATCAAAATACGTAACTATTTTTTATTTTCACTTTTTAGTAACTTATTATGTCCTTTAAGTATTCAAAAAATATAATATCTCAAATTCTTTCTAAATAATCATCGACAACTTTTAATATTTCATTTATGTAAGTATTAAGAAAATAAAGTATCTCAACTTCTCTAAGCAATAAATAAACCGTAGAATGAATATTAAAGGCGTGTATTAATGCCCATGACGACATGACGTAGACATGTAACGTAATTTGACTTGTTAATTTGATGGAAACAATCATCGTCCCTATGGCTATTAATTCCCACTAATGGTCACATTAAAGCATCAAAATAAAATTAAAACCAAACACGTCTCTCTATTGAAGTTGTGGTTCATGCATCTCACTCGGTGTTCGTCATCCATCCATAACTTTTTTCCTCCATTTGTTGAAAAGTAAAACTAATTGTCAAAAAATTGTGTTAATTATTAGGCCGAAATATATCATAAAATTAACTAATAATGAAAAAATTAAATCGATGTATAATATCCGCATTTTTATTATTTTTAAATTACTTAACCCTCAACAAAGTTCACGATTTCTAAATACGAGCATGTACTATCATTTTAAAAAAAAAAACATATATTATTTGAAGTTGTATCGGGCTAAGGATTAAGAAATTTGATCGTAGAAATCTGTAATAAAAGGATGCATAGTCAACAACATATGTGCAAAGACAAGAAGAAATTTGAAAGTGGAAGTGAACATGACACAGTCGATAAGTGCGATTTGACTTTTAGGTTTTGGGAGTTAAGTGAAATACCGTTCACTATGCCAATCCATATTCCTTCCCAAAATTATGTTTTCGAGATTTTGTGTCGGTCACAGATCTACAAATTTTAAGTAGTAAGATAATTTTTATATACATATTTATAGTAATAAATAAATAATTATATTTTTAAAATAAAAAATATTTTTAAATTATTTTTTAATGATATTTTATATTTTAAAAATACTTAATGATTTACTCATTTTTAATATTTTTAAAATTATTTTTCTTTTTATAAGTAACAAAATAATCATTTAACTATTTATTTCTCACATTAAAACTTTGTCTATTTTATAAAAAAAAGTATAACATGACACACGTGCACATACACATGAGTTTGTTAATTTATAATTACTTATTTTTTTCTTAAAAAAAAGTAAGTTAACAAGTTATATCTAAGTACATTTTTAAAAATATTACGGTTATAGTTTCCTAGTATACTCCTTTTAAAAAAAGAAGATATATATAACAAATCTCACATACATTTGATAACTCACATCCATTTATTTTTAAGAAAAATGAAGTTAATAAACTATGCTCAGATGTATTTTTTTTGAAAAAAACACTTCAAAAATAATATTTTGATTTTAACATTTTTTACAACATAAAACTTAAAAGGTAATGGAATACTTAGTTTTTAACATGGTAAATAATTATTTTATTATAATATATATATATATATATATATATATATATATATATAAAATAATTGACATAAAATATTTAGTGGAGACATTTGTCCCCACTTCCACAAAGGTGGATTCATCCCTACTTTGTGTCACTCAACTGTAGAATTGTTTAAGAAAATTATTTTATAAACTTGAAAATTTGTAAATGCTTAATTTTTTTAGATAAAAAAATCATAAAAATAATTGCAATAAAAATTAAACTTATTTTTACTGTTCGTGTAATTATAGTTAAGATATTATAGTTGTATTATTCAAATGATTGTAATTAATATTTTATCATATCTTTTAGATATTTATTTGTATTTTTTTAGATATTTATTCTTTATTCATGTATATATATTCGTTGTACTGCAAATATTAAAAAAAGGAATTTTGATTTTTTTATTATTTATATGGCATTAGATTAGCCTATAGTTTTATACTTGTTTCTTGATTTACCTATAGTTTTCTCAACTAACATTGCACTTGTAGAACTTGTCACTGCATACACTCTTCTCATTAAAGTCAATTCTAACAATCATCATACTTTGACATACTCAAATAACTTATCTTTTATAGGCCCATGATTTTTACGGGTACATTTTTGACAATACACCTTGTCCCTCTACAACTAGCGGTGAAGGAGATGCGATCATTGTCAACCCTTCTTACACCTATTAGAAACATTAAGATCATTATGTGTTCCTCGCTCTTCTTGGTCCTCGTTGCCCTGATGCACAACTTGTCATGACCTCAACTACTTCTTTTGTTGCTGCATGGATGAGGTTAAACAAACACTATGTGAATAGGTCTCACACTCATGTAATGTCTCTAAAAAAAACATCTTTCATTTGTCACCAAAAGTACCTCTAATGTCAGTGATTATTTGTGTTCAATTTGACTAATAGAGGATGAAATTGCTCTTATTAATCATCTTGTTGATGACATTTGTCTTGTCATTGTTGCTCTGAATGGTCTCGAACCATCGTTTTGTGAATTCACAGCCTCAATTCACGCTAGAGACACTTTTTTTTTTTTGTTTGATGAACTTTTTTGACAAGTTAGTAGATTTTGAAATTTTCATGCAACATGATAAATGTCAACAACAATCTTTTCATGCCACTTCCAATTGTACAAATCACCCTCAAGGTCAAACCATAACAAGCAGTATTCTTCATCAAATCGTAGTAGCTCTTCTTCTAGAGATAATAGTCAAGGCTATAAACACTGTATTGCCAAAACATATATATTATCGACTACATGGTTTTCTAGTTAATCATCCTCACCATCAAGCCAACCATAGTCAACACGAGGTCCATTTTGACAACTCTTGATTTCTTGACTCTGGAACATCTCACCATGTGACCAATGACATTAGTCATCTCTCCATCTCCAATGATTACACTTACCCAGATCAACTCCACAATACCAATGATAAGGGTTTTTCCATCACACGTCATGGCTCAACTAACCAACTCACCCTATCATCCCTAGCCTCTTCATCTTTCCAAAATCTTACATGTTCTCTCTGACATCTAAAATCTAATTAATTTCAGTTTCTCAATTATGCAAGACTAACTCAATAGCTATTGAATTTTTTCCTTGGCATTTTGAGGTAAAAAGCTTGAAAATGGGAGCAATTCTTCTATAAGGAAAAACTAAAGATCAAGCATACAAGTTGCAATTATTTTCTACACTTTACAATGTCCATAATCATCCCTCAATAAAGATGTGACACTATCATCTTGAACATCAACACCTTCATAATCCTTAAACATTCTTTCTTCCAACTTTATACCTCAATAAAGTGTAATTGTTTTGAAATATTCACTACTACAAGATGCATATTCTACATCGGTTCTCTAAAGTCATCTACATCGGTTCTAAAACCTATGTAGAATAGAGCGACTTAGAAAATGTATACATTTTTACCTCGGTTCTGAAATCGATGTAGATTTAAGCATATTTTTTGGATTCTTAAAAAAAAAATCATGCTTATTTTTGGATTCTTTCTGATTACCTATAATGAACATATATATAGCTTTAGAAATTTGTTTACAAATTACACAAAAAAAATTTTGACACGTTCCAATTAGACACATGATTTTCTAGCACCAAACAGTAACATACAAAAACCTTAATGGCTAGAAGATCAGTCAAACTCAACATGATGCAACTAAAATAACATTGATTAAATCAAATAAAAAACATAAAAACCCAATCCAACAACACATCATAAGGTAGTAAACTAGTAATCGATAAAGGTAAAAAAAAAAAAAAAAATCTTGTTTCTGCCTAGAATTTAGAATATACATAGGATACTATTATTTGGGGAGATCAAGACATTTTATTTTGGAGGAAATATACTTGCTCTGCTTCTAACTTTGACAATTTATTTAGGTTTGAACAGTAGACTATCAACTAGAATTCAGAAAAATTGATCATTTTTAACTAATTTAATTATTGTTGGTTCAAAAGTTAATTATACAAAATTCTTAATTCTTTAATACTATAGCAACTATTTATATTTCAATAAAAAAAAATAACTACTTATATTTCAATAAAAAAAAAAAAATAACTATTTATATTAATACAGAATCATTTTTTACCAGCAGAATTTAATTCCTACCAAGCATAAGCTAAATATGCAATTTTCAAAGCCAATTTTATCAAATTACATCATCATGGTGACTAATGCATCAATCTAGAAACTGCAGGTCACACTCTTCATGGGACATACTTGCAACAATATCACACATATGGAAACTAATGTAACACTTGACATGACATCGTCAGACTCGAAGTTTCTTCTTCAACTTCTTTTTATTCTTTTCTACACATTCTCTACCCCTAACACACAAAAGAAGCTATTTATTTCCGGTGACTTATACATGACACTAATAGGACTAATTCAACCAAAAAGCCTTAGAATTGAATGATGGGAACAAATCAAAAAGCCTTGTAGTTCATTCCATCCATGTCTCAATTTTTATGCTAGTTGTTGCTACTGTTTTACTCTGTTTGTTCCTATAATGCAAAGTTGTCATCATAAAATATCATGTATATTTTTCTGTGAGAATGCAGTCAATGAGTGCTTACAATCATTGTTACAATTGTAATTAAATCCTAAACTCGCTCCCTAGTTAACTAATGTAATATACCTTGCGTGGTCTGTGTTATTATATATACAATTCCCATATACTCTCTTTACTTTCTAGTATCAGAATCAAGTTGGTAGCATAGTGAATTTCAATCCAACTCTCTTCTAATCCTAATTCCTTTCTTAGAATGTTGTAAGTTTAAATAATACAATTTGGAAAGCTCCTTCAGCCTAGGTAGTGCAACAAAATTGTTTGCTATTATATCTAGCCTTTCTAACCATCTCATTTTTCTATCAGCATAAATGATTTTTACTAAATGGCAGAAACTTAGATCAAGTCTATAGACACTATATGGTTCATGCATTCAATAAACAGAAGATATAGACACTATATGGTCCATGCATATTCTGGCATTTATTAACCATCTCATAATTAATGCTAACAATAACAATAAATTCAACAGTTAGGTGCTATAGCAACACATCCGTGAACAAAAAAAAGACATTTGAGATTGGGGAGACAGAAATAGGTTTATATCACAGTCTATAGTTTGGATTCTGGCTGGCCAAAGTTTCAACTAACTATCATTTGAATCCAAATAAACAGACTAAATTCCTTACAAAGTGAATACATTTTTTGCTTCTCTACTGGTAAGGTATGATGGATAAGTTAGAGAACATCACCTCTCTAAACCTTTTGTTTTTATCCTTCTGTATCTGCTCTCAATGTACCATCTATTTGAAAAAGGAAATGAAATAATGCTACTTATTAACTAGCCCCCAGAGCAGCTTCAACAATAAGCAGGGTTGTAAAAAAAATTAATATGATAAACAATTATGATATTTGCTACATAACCAGTAATATGATAAATAGCAGCCTAACTGACTAACACAAATTTAACAGTTGTAGTATACAATTCCCAAAAATTCATGATAGACCATGCACACTTAAAGTGTGAAACTTTACTACATATTCAACAACATAGTAGACCCTTTCACTTAAATTTTAAAACACAGCAAATAGATTCCAACTTACTATCCCAATGAAGATGGTCAAGAAATATTGATTTGCAAATAACACCACCCTTTCCCTATGTAAATTAACTAAGCCTCTTCATTGCAGTCTTCTTAGATGATATATATGCTATTTCTAGCTTTCTTCAGCACCCAAAATCATATGGAACAAGTCCTTTTAGCTCGGGACCACTAAACCTTTTGTTTTCAAAACTGAAACAAGAGCAGGAGAAATATTTAGAAAATATAACAACATCAACTAGTCATTTTATATAGTGATTTCATAGTAAAACAAAACGAGTACAACAATAAATGTCTAGCACTGAACTTGAACCAATACCTACTACTTGGAGAAAAAATATATGAACTTTTTTTTGGTGCTACTTTATCATTGCCTTGCTTTTATCATTTCCTCTTTCTTTTCACATATATTTCCAAGTTAGGTATTTGATCAACCAAGCTAGATAGATATACATGGCATCGAGTAGCAATCAATACTATCTAAAATTCGTACATAATAATTAAAAGTGAAAGTTATGAAGAGGTCTTGAAAGAAAAACTTGACACTAGACAGTATAATAGTAACAGTGTAACATTGTTCCTATTTCAAAATAAAATTAAGAGTAAAATCTCGTTTCCCCCTTTAACTCAGGCTCATGCACACTTTAGTCTTTGATCTTTAAAAAAACACAACACAAAATGCAAAACTAAAATTGATTCCTGTAGCTTTTCATCTTTTGTGGAACAATTCAACAGTATGTTTATGATGGAGCACCAAGATATAAAGCAAGTCGTAAAATATCACAAAATATTCCACCAGCTGTGACCTGAGCACCATCTCCTGGCCCATGAACTATTAGAGGCTGATCCTGATACCTTCTTGTTGTAAATGCAATAATATTATCTAACCCAAACAATTGTGCAAACGGATGATCCTTCTTGTATCTTCGCAGTTCTACCACTCCTTTTTTATTAGTCACGTCCACAACTCCCACGTATCTCAAGACCTTCAGAGTTCAAATATAAAAATTTGAGTTGCGATATATGAGAGAGGTGTCATAATGAAAATATACATATATATTTTGAAGGACACAAACAGGAAGCCATAAACCCAATATAAATCAATTCTTATACTGTTCTGTTTACTTGAATCAAGGTCTATATGGAATAAAATTATTCTTTTAAATACTTTAACAAAGAATACTTTTGATTTTACTTACTTCCCCAACATTTCAGCATCTTCTTGTTTCTTTGTGAACTCCTGATCAAATTTTGGTAGCTCTTGCATAAACTCTTGAGCTGATGCACAACCCTGCATAGAATCATCATAACATCTGTGTCAATTAACATGCTACATGCTAAAACCAAAAACTTAACAATCAATATAAATTGGTTCTTACTCGCAGTGGTTCTGGCACAAGGCTTTCAACTGGAATATTAGACAATTCTAGCTTTAATCCAGATTCCCTAGCAAGAATTATCACCTGTAGATCCAAAACAGCTTCATGATGTTGAATCTAAATTGCCACTGCCAAAACAGGATTACATGAAGCATAAAAATGCTATCATGAAGCAAGATTAACATTGTGATTAACTTCCATGTTCAAATTAGTTAGTTACAAGGACAACAACCAAGCATTTTCTCACCAATTGAGGTCAACTACATGGGTCAAAGACAAACTATTAACCTCTAAATCCTTAATGGTTTCACCTGCAGTTTTTCTTACTCTCCCTCGTGTCTATAAATTAGACTACCCTCCAACTGATCTACTATTCTTAGCTGGAGCTTCTACAGGTCTTTTAAATAAAACTACATAAAGCAAGCTTCAACCATCTTTTCTAAATAGGTGCGCACCCATACTTAATTTTGTATTAAACTACACCATGTTGTTGGTATTAAACTCAGACGGGAAACATATACACAAACAGAAATCCCCCAAAAGCAAGAAATGTGAATACTTCCAAAGAAATTATCACCAAATACAGATGAATCAATTAATATAAAATTGTTTTGATTTAATCTAATCAAATCCAAAGAAATTATCAACAAATACATATGCATCATTGAGTTTCTAGGGTTACCTCAAACACGTCTGCAAATGCTGTCGTGGACGACGAACTTCACCAAGATGACCACCACGTTTCAGAGACCTCATCTGAGAGCGTCTATCAATTTGAAGCACTAACACGAATGAGAAACGAAACCACAAAAAGAAAAACCTAAGATAAACAACAAAACTAGAAAAGATTACCTAATGTTGTTCGTCGAAGAGGGCTCAGCACTTTGTCAACCAGGTTCGATCGTTGTCGTTGCTCGCGGCAGAGGGCGAAGCGATATAACGATTTATATTAGTTCAACTAAAATTAATGTAAATATAACAATGTTAAATAGTTTTTTTTTGTAATAGTGATTATGCATTAGTTAATTTTATTTTTGCAAAAAAGAAATTTTAGATTGTTTGAACTGCCACAACATATAAACTCTAAATTTAGAATTATAAAAAATGTCACACCTAAGTCAATTTCTTTAAATCGGTATTTTCTTCAAAATGTTCCTATCTCATGGAGAAGTTCTAAAAATAAATAAAAACTCTTATCCGTACTCTATATATATATGCACCTCACTCTGACGGTATCATATTTTATATATGCACTTGTTAACGCAAAACATGTAGTCCGTCCTATATATTCCTTAAAAATTATACTATATGTGATTATTTTTATATTTATTTATTTATTTTTAATATAAATTTATGGATGTCTTTAGTCTTTCTTATATATATATATACATTTTTTTTTGGATGTTAATCCTTTCAAAATTATCTTTTTAAAAAAATGAATTTAAAATATTTAACTTTTTTACCAAAAATTGTTAGGTCACATGATTCCACACGTTTTTTAATGATTTTTTTATATTAAAATTTTAAATTTAACGATTAAAGTATTAAAATTTAATATATAACATAAATTATTGAATAAAATAAATTCTAAGTAAAATTATTCATGAAGTCAACGCATCTCTCATTTATAATTAATATATATAAAAAAGGAAGAGATCTATTGGGAAAGAAAAGAGTTATTGGCATATTGAGCAAAGAACAGAAAGATAATAGGCATGGAAGAGACCATCAAGAACCAATCTGGAACTTCACTTTTGGTACCATCAGTTCAAGAGTTGGCTAAACAAAAGTTGTCTACTGTTCCAGAAAGATACATTCAGCCTCAACATGAACACATGCTTGTCATCTCAGAAGAAGACAACAGAATCCTTGAGATTCCAGTTATTGACATGCACAACTTGCTTTCTCTAGAGTTTGGAAGTGCAGAATTGGATAAGCTTCACCATGCTTGTAAGGAATGGGGATTCTTCCAGGTCTATTTTCTCTCCATCCTTCAATTTTATGCATCTGTATGTTTGATTATGTATCGAGAAATTGTACGTAGATACATGAAAAAGTAATCAAACTTAGCATGTGTTGTTCTTTTCTCGGTAATATATGTTATATTCTATGGATTTTTTAATATATAATAAAATTTTGATTCTAATCAGACAATAATGTTAACAATATTTATGATATTTATGATATTGCGTGCATGTAAGTTTTGCTCATAAATGAAATCCTTAAAAGTTAAAACTATATGTATGTACATGCTAGATTTAAGTTTTAGAATTATGATGGATTGATTATGTTGTTAATTAATCTCCTTGTAGCTGATAAACCATGGTGTTAGCTCTTCCTTGGTGGAGAAAGTAAAGTTGGAGATTCAAGATTTCTTCAACCTTCCAATGTTAGAGAGGAAAAAGTTTTGGCAGAGTCCGCAACACATGGAGGGTTTTGGTCAAGCTTTTGTTGTGAGTGAAGATCAAAAGCTTGATTGGGCAGACCTTTTCTACATGACCACCTGTAACAAGTCCCACATCGGGGAGGTCTCCTCACCAAGGAGTCCTTATAAGGCGGGAGGTTCTCCAACCTCTTGGGCCGGCTTTTGAGGGATGGTTCCCCTCCTTAGCCTTATGCTCGTTACAATGGTGCTTTCATTGAGAGCCAGCCAAATCGAGAAGGGCTACCCACGGAGGGTTCTGACCATCGGAGGGTTCTGACCGGCAAGAAGGCCGAGTGAAGTGCCGGTGAGTGAAGTACCGTGGAGTGCAGCCATCGAGGACGCTGGCTTTCGAAGGGGGTGGTAATGTAACAAGTCCCACATCGGGGAGGTCTCCTCACCAAGGAGTCCTTATAAGGCGGGAGGTTCTCCAACCTCTTGGGCCGGCTTTTGAGGGATGGTTCCCCTCCTTAGCCTTATGCTCGTTACACCACCCTTCCAAAACACTCTAGAATGCCCCATTTATTTCCACAGCTCCCTCTCCCTTTAAGGTTTTCTCTCTTTCTCACTCTACCTTATCCATCTTATAGGATGTTTATGTTAGTTGTTACCCCATTCACATGTGGTACGAGTCCTTTTAAATTTAAATTTAAAGATTTTTTTTCGAAAGTCTCTTTACTAATTTTTTATTTTAAAAAAAATAGCACAAAAATTCTTAAATGTTCTTTTAAATTTGTATATAAAGTAGCAAAAAAAAATAACAAATAAGTTTAGCAGTAACCTTGCTTAAGTTACTCTACTTAATAATTCATTATGTATGTTAAATTTTAACAATCTAATTATTAAGTTAAAAATTCTTAATGTATAAATCAAGTTTATAAAATTTTAAAAATTTAAAATTTATATGATACTTCATTATATAAATTTAAATCAATATATAAAATTCTTGTCGATTTGAAATAACAAAACAAAGTATTATTATTTTTAAAATTTCTTAAAATTTATAAACTTAATCTATACATTAAAAAATTTTAATTTAATAATTAGATTATTAAAATTTAATATACATAATGAAATAGAATAATTTAAACAAAAATTATTTTTAGTCATTTTATCCCACATCATATATATATATATATATATGAAAGACTAAGACTCCATAACTTTTAAAAGAGTTTACATGTCCCTTTGTCATGTAGAGACACTCTAGAACTTTACTCACAGGAAATGAAAGACCTTGCGATGGTTATCATTGGCCATATGGGAAAAGTTTTGAAGATAAAAGAAAGGGAAATAAGAGAATTATTTGAAGAAGGGATACAACTGATGAGGATGAATTATTACCCACCATGTCCTGAACCAGAGAAGGTTATTGGACTCACTCCTCATTCAGATGGAATCGGTCTCACTGTTCTCCTACAAGTCAATGAAGTAGATGGACTTCAGATAAGAAAAGATGGCATGTGGGTCCCGGTTAAACCTTTGCCTAATGCTTTCATCATCAATGTTGGTGACATATTAGAGGTAATGTTAATTAATTAATGTGCCCATCAATTTATATATCATCTAACTTTATATTTTATCAATTGCTTTAAGAATAATTTTGTTTTTTCACTTGGAACATATGGTAGAGTCCACAATTTCGGATTCCTTTTATGGATGGTTTTACGATACACCAGATTGATTCAAAGTTATTAATATTTTATTATATAAAAAATATGATAAAATAAGTTATACAACCACCATACGTAACAAACTTTTATATTATTAAACTACAAACTATATTTATACGTGTTAAATTTGTTGACAACAATTATCTTAAAAGTTATATTAATATTAATTTTTAATTAATTGATAATATAAAATTTCTTTTATATTAATAGTGTATAACTATTAAATTTAAAGAATATTTTTAATTTAAATACAATTTACATTAGTGACACATATAAATTAAACTCTTATAACTATATAGGATTGCCTAACTTACATACCTAAGTCAAAATAGGGTTAAAACAACACTATAAACAATGGTTTGGTGTGATTAGTTAGGTACTTCAAGATACGTTGACACAATGTTTTTTACTTGCAATTTAAAAATTCACGTGTTTCTTCATATTCATGTATTATTGTCAAAATATTGTGTTGCTCTAGTATATTATTTGAGTCATGACTGGGAAGAAGAGAATACAAAACAATATACTCTGATATATAAACTACACCAAATTCAATTCATCACAAGTACCTTTATTACTTTTGTATTATCTCACACGTCTTGCATGATAGATTATAACAAACGGCATATACAGAAGCATTGAGCATCGAGCAACAGTAAGCTCTGAAAAAGAAAGACTTTCAATAGCAACATTCTATAGTCCAACTCAAGATGGTGTGGTAGGTCCTGCATCAAGCTTGATCACTGAACAAACACCAGCACGATTCAAAAGCATTGGAGTAAAGGACTACTTTAAGGGCCTATTTTCTCGTAAACTTGATGGAAAATCCTACGTAGATGTCATGAGAATATAGCTCCACTGTTGAAGGCGCAAAAAGTACTAGTGTTGATTTACTTTATTGTATCATCGTGTGCCATTGTTTGGTTGCTACTTGTTATTGTCCATGTTATTAGGTCATTGATCGAGTGTGTAGAAGAGTTTATATGTAGAGTCTATTTCGTAAAAATGATTTAGGACTTTCATTTACTCTTCTAAGCTTATTTTAGGAAGTTTGTGTAACTAATTAAAAATAAATTTCAATAATTTATGATTAAAATTATAATATAAAATTTCATATAATAAAACTATACATATTGAATAATTATTCAATCGATGGTGTAAAAAAAGTATTCAATTGGATTGCTTTTTTTTATTATTATTTAAATTATTATAAGGTCAAAAAATAAAGTCATAAACCATAGGACATAACCAAACTTAGAGATGCCAATGAGGTGGAACGAGTACAAGTAGTCCTTCATTACTCGTTCTGTCAAATAAATATTGATCTTGATATGTGGATATCTATTAAGTTAGTATTTACTTATTTTTTCAATATTTGTAAGTATTTGTAGCTATATATATGTAGATATTTATTTTTTTAAAAAAAATATAAATAATTTTAAAAGGATTTATTTTTTAATAATAACTTTTATTCATATATCTTAACAATATATAAAGAAAATGCTTCTTTCTAGTGTCTATTTTTCTAAAGACAATTATACCCTTATATTTTATTTTATTTTTCTCATAATTTATATTTAAGGATAATATATATATAATACCTTTTTAAAAATAATAACTACCTACTTTCTTTTTTAGTAAATTTATTCTTTTTTACGGGGCACAAAATGCCTCTTTATGCTAGTTTTAATAATTTTTCTAAAAATTATAAATTATTTAAATATTATACACGATTTTATTAATCAAGATTCATGGATTCAGAAACTAAATTTAATTGTTAAAATATTTTATTCTATAAATTTAAACAAAATTAATAAATTAAAATAATTCAATTTTACAAATTTAAAATAAAATTAAAATATTATATTATTTGAATTTCACAAACATAAACAAAAGAAATTTAAATAATATCATATTTTCAATTTAACACATAATATATATTTTAACAAAAAAAATTTAATTAACTTTATCATAACATGTATTTAGCGGGTCTCCAAACGGTGGATACTTTAATATCTACTTGGTCCCTATTTATTAATGGATACTATTTAAATCATTTGTAAATTCTCATTTAAATACTTATTTACTATCCATTGCAGATTATATCTGCAAATATTTATGGTTTCAATTTCTTTTTTTATCCCTATCCAAACGGATCATATTTTCTTTGTCGATTATGAATCTATGATTGCACTTGAATAACTTTTTCTAAAAAATGTATATACTGTTTATAGATCATGCTTTAGAATCTGTCACTCAGTCACAGCATAAATTTTGTGTACGGTATAAATTTTGAACCACACATGTTTCATACATATATTAGAAGCAAGTTAAGCTCAAAAGTGATATAACTCCCTCATCGTTCTTCTTTTTCTATGTGCCTTTCCCTCTCTTGGGACACAATATAAGGTAAGACTCTGTTTGTCAGTACTATATATATGATTGTTGGAATTATGTGACGAAAAAGGTTAACACACTAAAAAAAAATAGGTAATTATTGGCCCTTTTTTTTTTGCGGTTTCCATAAACCTCCAAAAAAAATGTTACATTTGTGGAAAGAATGGTAAATGTTACAAATTATTGACGGCTTTTTGACCAAAGTGGGGTCGTTGACCAAGTTATTTACCTAAATGGGGCTGTTTTGAATTTATTTACGCCTTTGGAGCTGTTTACAACGGTGTCGCTATGGCCCATAGCGACACCAATGCCACGTGGCTTTTTTTACACTTCAGGAAAGCCATGAAAGCCATATTAATAGTGTCGCTACAGCCCATAGCGGTATTAAATAGCTTCAATAAAGTCGCTGTAGCCTAAAGCGACACATATATAAAAAAATATTTATTTTTAATTATTAAAAAGTGATAAAACGATAAAAAAAACAAATTATTTAATAATTTTTATAAAAAAAAATAGAAATATAGTGGCGCTGTAGGCCACAGTGCCAGTTAATAAAAAATTAATTTTAATAATTAAAATGTGATAAAAAAACAAGTTATAATTAAAAAAAAAAAAAAGGAAACAGAACCTACAGCCTAAAGCGCCACATATATAAAAAAACAATTATTTTTAATAATTAAAATGTCATAAAAAACAAATTATTTAATATTTTTTTTTAAAAAAAATAGAAATCTAGTGACGCTGTAGGCCACAGCGCCAGTTTATAAAAAATTAATTTTAATAATTAAAATGTGATAAAAAAAAGAAGTTATAATTTAAAAAAAAAAAAAAATAGCTAAATATATAAATATATATTTTTATGATATGCGTAAATAAAATAAAAGTTGATAAAAAACTACTTTTTAAATAATTTTATAAAAAAAAAATATGGCGTTGTGGCCTACAACGACACATATTTTAAAAATTAAAAAACGTAAATAAAAAATTAAAAATGTATAAAATAAAGAAAAATTAGAAATAGCTAAATATATAAATATATATTTTTATGATATGCGTAAATAAAATAAAAGTTGATAAAAAACTTCTTTTTGAATAATTTAAATAAAAAAAAATGTGGCGCTGTGGCCTACAGCAACACTGCGGCACTGTAGGCCACAGCGACACAGGTGGTGGTTGAGAAATTTATTACAGTGGCCACGTGTCAAATTACCGCTGATTTAACCAGTAGTAATTGGACACGTGGCTTTATACAGTAAAAAAATGTCTATATAAGGGTTTTTACCCTCAGATGGTCCCCCCTCTCAATTTGGTTTCCAGACGAGTCTCCATCAGGTAAATTTTTTTTTATTTATCTGTTTAATTTATTTAAAAATTATTTGGGCCATGTTATTTCAGCTGAAGGGATTACAGTTGATTCGGCTAAGGTGGAGTCGGTGTTGCAGTGGGAGCGTCCGAGAACTGTCACGGATATTCGAATTTTTGTGGGTCTAGCGGGTTACTATAGGAGGTTCATTGAGGGATTCTCCAAGATAGTAGCACCTCTAACCCAGTTGACTAGAAAGGATCAGCCTTTCATTTGGACAGATGCGTGTGAATGGAGTTTTGATGAGCTGAAGAAGAGGTTGACTACTTCTCCTATGTTGGTGTTGCCTGATTCTGGTGAGCCTTGTGATGTGTATTGTGATGCTTCTCACCAGAGATTGGGGTGTGTGTTGATGCAGAACAGGAGAGTGGTGGCATATGCTTCAAGGCAACTAAAGAAGCTCGAGAGGAATTATCTTACTCATGACTTGGAGTTGGAAGCGGTTGTTTTTGCCTTGAAGATATGGAGGCATTATTTGTATGGTGCTCGGTTCAGCGTCTTCAGTGATCACACGAGTCTGAAGTACTTGTTTGATCAGAAAGAGCTGAACATGAGGTAGAGATGGTGGATGTAATTTTTGAAGGATTATGGTTTTCAACTGATGTATCACCTTGGGAAGGCCAATGTAGTGGCGGGTGCTCTGAGTAGGAAATCTATCCACATGTCAGGTTTGATGGTGAAAGAGCTGAAGCTGGTAGAGGAATTCAGAAATTTGAATCTTTGTGTGGAGTTAGCTCATGATCACATTAGTTATGAAATGACTACCATAACTAGTGAGTTCTTGAGGCAAGTTGGGTTGAAGTAGTTGCAGGATGCAGAGTTGGTGAAGATTCTTGGTTTGCTGGGTATCGAGAAGACAGTTGGTTTTGAGCTGGGCGAAGACGAAATTTTGAGGTTTAAGGGCAGAATTTGCCTACCTCATGATTATGAGCTGAAGAAGGCAGTTTTGGAGGAAGGCCACAAGAGTAGACTTAACATACATCCTGGTATGACTAAGATGTACCAAGACCTCAAGAAGACTTTCTAGTGGTCTGGTATGAAGAGAGACATAGCTGAATATGTGGTAGCCTGTTTGACTTGTCAGAAGGCAAAGGTGGAGCATCAGAAGCCGGGTAGTTTGTTGCAGCTAATGGAGGTTCCAGAATGGAAGTGGGATAATATCACTATAGATTTCATTATGGGATTACCCAGGTCTTCTAGGAATAGTGATGCTATCTGAGTGATTGTTGATAGGTTGACCAAGTTTGCGCATTTCTTGCCTGTTAATATCAAGTGGTCCTTGGAGAAGCTGACACAGTTGTATGTGAGGGAAATAGTACGGTTGCATGGGGTGCCTTCCAGTATTATTTCAGACAGAGATTCGAGGTTCACTTCCAGATTTTGGCAGAGTCTACACCAAGCCTTAGGCACTAAGTTGAGGTTGAGTTCTGCTTATCATCCATAGACGGATGGTCAGTTAGAGAGGACAATTCAGTCCTAGGAGGATCTACTAAGGGCTTGTGTGTTAGACTACTTGGGGAGCTGGGAGGAAGTCCTACCACTAGTGGAGTTCACGTACAATAATAGCTTTTATGCTAGTATTGGGATGACGTTGTTTGAAGCCCTGTATGGTAGGAAGTGTAGGACTCTTCTGTGTTGGTATCAAGATGGTGAGTCAGTGGTTGTGGGGCCGGAGCTGATCCTACCGACTACTGAGAAGGTGAAGCTGATTCAGGAGAGAATGAATACTGCTCAGAGTAGGCAGAAATCATATGCTGATAAAAGGCGAAAGCCTTCGGAGTTTTCTGAAGGGGAACATGTGTTTCTGAAGGTGACCCTAACCTCTGGTGTGGGAAGAGCGCTGAAGGCTAAGAAGTTGACACCTAGGTTTGTCGGTCCCTATCAGATCATCCATCGTGTTGGTCCGGTCGCTTATCGGTTGGCCTTGCCACCGTCTCCCTCAAACTTGCACGATGTGTTTCATGAATCCCAGCTGAGGAAGTATGTTCATGACCTTAGTCATGTGGTTGAGTTGGATGAAGTTCGGGTGAAGGAGAATCTAACTTTTGAGAAGTCGCTTGTAGCTGTGGTTGATTTCAAGTTGAAGGAGTTGAGAGGCAAGTCTATTAGTTTGGTGAAAGTGTTGTGAGATGCAGCTACTGGTGAGGCTACTTGGGAAGTTGAGCAAAGTGCAGAGAGCAGTATCCTTCCCTATTCCCAAGTAAGTCTATTTTCGGGGATGAAAATTCCTATTGTTGGGGAGGTTGTGAGACCCCGCAACTTTTTTTCTCTCTTTTCTCATCTCCCTCACTTTGCATTCTCTCTTTTTCCTTATTCTCTCAAATTCCTTTCTCTTAAGCTGAAGCAGTGAGCACCAAGGAGGTTCCTCAATCCTTCTCCACTCCTAAAACGTAAGCCGTTCGGAGCTAGTTGAGAGCCAGAGTTTTCTCTTCTTCTTCTCCTTCTCTTCCCGGAGCTCGGATTTCTTTTCCTCCGAGGTAAAGGAAGCTATTTTTTGCATGGATTGGTTGGAAATGAGTTTAGAAAATCATGTGTTGTTTGATTTGAGAAGATTGATGGGCTGTTTTGAAGAAATTGCATTTCTGGGGTTTTGGGAAAAAGGGTGAAATTTGGGGATTTTGAGTGTTGATGGTTGCATGTTGGAAAAGTAATTATTTTTTAGCTATTTGATGATAATGTGGTTCATTGAATGGATTGTATGTGGTTTAGCTGGTTGTTTTTGCAAGTTTTGGGTGGAATTTTTGAAATTTGAGGGTTGCTGCTTGATAATGCACCGGGCGTAGTTCTTGGCATTAGGCACGTGACCATCAGAGGGTTCCATTGGTCAAGCACGCTGGGCGCAAGGCTGGTTGCGCCGAGCGAGCTTGGGAATGAAGGCCCCTGGATGGCTCACGCCGGGCGTGGAAGAATCGCGCTAGGCGTGATATTAGACAGGGACTCACAATTTTGGGTTCTGGCATGGCACCGGGCATGATTCAATTTCGTCGGGCATCGAGACTCCATGGGAGTCTCTGCTAGGGGTGGCACCGGGTGCAATTGGTATTATGCCAGGCATGAGACCTTGAGGAGGTCTCTGCCTTACTTGCACCGAGCGCGGGTTTGGTGCGCGGGGCTTATGAGACTCCTGAGAGTCTCTACCTTCTAGCACGTCGGGCACAATTAGAATTGTGTCGGGTGCGTAAGAGCGTTGGAGCTCTCTGGTTGGTCCAAGCCGGGCGCAACTCTTATTGCGTCGGGCGCGGATGTGTGCTTTCATAACTATGCTGATTAATGATGATTAATGCTGATTAATGTTGTATTGATGTAAAGTTGAGCCATGCTGTATGATGTTAATGTCGTATGATGTTTAAGCTATATGATATAACGTTGAACTGTGCTGTATGATGCTTATGCTGATTAAATGTTGTTGAGCCAAGCTGAGTTGTATGCTAATGCTATTATGTTGTGTTGGGCTGAATGTTGATTCTGAGCTGTGTTGTAGGCTGGAAAGCTGAGCTGTTGTAGGCCGTAAAGCTGAGCTGTTGTAGGTCGTAAGAATGAGCTGTAGGAGATCTCCGAGTTGAAATGTGTGACAACACATAAGCTATTTGATGTGATTTTGCTTAATGATGTGAGCTGTATATGTGTAGTGTGCTGTGAAGTTGAGATATAGATGTATGCTGTGATGTGTTGTATGTCAACCTTGTTGAATTTGATGATGTGCTAATAAGTTAAAGCTGTTTATAATTGAATTATATGCTGGTTTCTTTTCACTAGCTTACCCTTGTTTGTTTCCATGTGGATTGGACTGCAATGATCATACTGTGTATGGGAGCAGACCAGGGATAGGTTGGAGTAAAGTAGCAGGTCTGTAACTGTCAGATGGAGCTGATGTTTTGTTGTTGATAGGCTACTTAGTGTAGCTAGGATGATGTATTTTGTATATTGACTTTTTAGCCCCAGGCTAGACCTATGTGTATATATATATTTTCTATTTATATGCATACTCTATTCTGCGTGGTGCTGTTTGTTGTGCAACGGCTAGGTGGGTCGTTACACTATCTAATTCCATCCCCTTATATTAGAATAGTCAAACAAGTTAGAAAAGTATTTTCATTTAAAAGATAAAGAATATTAAAACGTTTTATAATTTTAAAATTAATTGTAACACTATATTTAGATTATTTAGATAAATGGTGTATGTTATGAGTGTTTTTGTTAGAGTTTTAATCTACCTCGATATCGTGCAAAGTTCTTGAGAGAGTTAGGTTCCTTTTTCTCTTTTCTTCATCATCTTGGTGCAATTGTTAAAGTAAGAGAAGTTAGAACTTGTTGCATATATCTTGATTCTTTTTGAATGCTCGTTGGTATGATTAAATTGGATTGGGTGTTGAAAATTTTGAAGAACCTATTGTTCTTGGTGTTCTTAATGAAGGATGGAAGGAATCCATGATCTTGGTGCGAATCAATGGTTATGTGAGGAGGATGAAAGATGATAAATTTTGAGTTACATGTAGAGTTTGGAGTCTAGGATATGAGGAATTTGAATTTTTGCATTTTGTTCTTACTTGAGATGACGAGATGTTCTTGAGTTATGCATGTTTCTTTTCTTACATGCTGAGAGCACCTATGGGAGTCACTCTAAGCAAGTAGTATGAACATATTAGGGATAGCCTCTGACTTGGCTCACTCAAAGCAAATTATGATAACTTAAAGTAAGTTTCGATGGCTCAAAGCGAGGACTCACTCGCTCAAAGCAAGTGGAGGTGGAAGTCTAGGGATAGTCCTTGACTTTGCTAGCTTAAAGTGAATTAAAGGGTGTTTTAAGCGAATTCAGTCGCTTATAGTGAAAAGTGATGCTGCTTGAAGCGACCAAAGTGAGGCTTAAGGGTTCTTTCTATATGGGTTTGCTCTAAGTGAATTTCTTGATGCTTAGAGTGAAATTGTGTCTCTCAGCGAAAATCTTGGATGCTTGAAGTGTTGAGTTCCTTCCTTTGTTATAAGAGTTGGATGTTTGTATGAAATAAGAATGAAGATTAATTTAATACCTTACCATGTATGCTGATTGTACATTGATATGGGATAATGTATGATGATGATTTAATTTTTGATGATTAATTGTTGTATGAAAAACATGAATAAAAGGCTTAAGTCTATTGCATGTTGTGTGATGTAGGTTATTGAATAAGCATTGATAGGTTATCTTTAAATAAGTTGATTGACATTGATATGCTACGTATGATGGTGTAAGTTGATCTTTATATGCATTGTATGAGAACAAGACTCATATACAAGGTATGTCCATATATCTATTAGTTAATTTTTTTTATAATTTTAGTAGACTAATTTCATTACTAGTAGTGATCTCATAGAGTGTAGCATCCATGACAGATTGTTACATTAATAGTCTTATTCACAGTTAAAAATAGATCTCATTTAGCATGACTAAAACACTTAATTGTCTATTAATTATAGAAAAGATAAACACTTCATGCCTTTTAATTTTTTTTAAATAATATAAAATAAAAGAGGATGAGACAATGTGAAGGTTAAAAAATTGTAATTGACATAAAGAATTGAAACTAAATGTAACAAAGTAGTTTACAAAATTAGTTAGGAGACAAAAACAAGTGTGAAAACCAAATCAAAATATCCTTTTCTTTATTAATAGTTATATTTATACAAAAAGATATTTTTATAAGATAATTTGACTTGTCATTACACTAGATGAATTGACAAAACACCTTTGTTGGGTAAGGCGTGAAACATTTCATACACACACAAAAAGAAGTTTAAGATATGACTTATAAGCTTTAGGCTGATTTGATCAAAAAAATTAAAAATTAATGTAATAGTTAATAAAAAATATAATAAGAATTAACATAAGTAATAGACATTACATTGAGATTGAAAAAAAGTTTGTCTTGTAAAGATAAGGTAATTAAAGATATGACAACAAAGATAAAGATCAAATTTGCATAAGTAATTAAATATTGGTGTGAATATTATATCAATCTTGCATTTGGATGTGTTCTTGATTCTAAGACAAAGTTGAATTTCATAAGTTTTGTTATAGTAGACTTTATCCATATGATTATGAAGAGAGTGAATAAGGTGAAATAGAGTTTGTATAATCTATTTGGTGAATATATACAAGAAGCAAGTACATCAAGTTTATTTCTATCTAGTACTTCATCAATAGACATTCAATTTTTTTTAAAAATGTTTTGGATCTAAAAT